GTAAGGCCAGGAGCCCAATATTAGCGTCCTTGCTCCTAGTAGCGATGGCCTCCAACCTAATAGCGTTTAAGGTCCTTTGAAGTACTAATTTGAACCAAGCAACATATTCATCGATAGCCTGCGGCCAATAGTAATTACCTGACATCCACATCGATGCGGAATCACGTCGATAAAACCGACATTTAAGTTTTCCTAGGAATCTAGGAAGCAAATCATTAGTGCGTGAGCTATCCTGCGTCCTAGCTAGGAAGGAACTTCTCCTAATACCGAAGTATTCTCACTTACTTGGTTAAGTAGGCAACTACTTAATTAAGTAGGAGTGGGCTTCAAAAAGGTGTTTCTTGATGGATTGGGGAAGGTTCCAGGAGGGCGATGCGGAGTGCTTTCAACACTATCCAAGTCACTTTGTATAGCGTTGGCTTGCATTTGGCGCCACACGGCCTTTTTGTGCCGGAAGATGTCCATGGCCTGTGGAGGCTATCCGTAGGTGCGAAGGCTTTGCGTAAACTGGAAGGTACAGCAGCTTTCTTATAACTAGTCGACCGGACTAGTGAAAAAGTAATTACAGAATAGGAAAGGAAAAGAGAAAGGTCTAAAGGTTAAGCTTCCATAAACCTGAGGGAACCTGAGCCCTTCTGGCTGGCAGCTACCCGCTATGAGTGGCTCCTTTGAGCAGCACCAACCTAACTCTTACATCCTCTTCATGGCGTACACCGAAGGTCAAAAAGATCAGGTCTAAAGGACTCTAAAGGATTCTAAAGGTTTGAAGACATGCAGCACGAAAAGGACAGCAAGAAAAGAAAACAAGATAGAAAGGTCAAAAAATGGCAAACACGCTGCAAAAAAGCCTGTCAGGCGAGCAAAAAACCAGACACAATATCTGAAAACAACAATTAAAGACAACGAACAACCACAACAATAACAAAATTCAAACAAACAACTGGAAGGATAAAATAACAAATACATTATTGTCGCTTTTAGGTTGGAGGCCATCACCTTTAGGTTGGAGGCCATCGCCTTTAGGTTGGAGTAGTGCAAAAACACTTCTTTTTTTGTTGGTAGTAAAGTAGCAAAATCTGTTCGGGGCCAATGCAAGAAACATCCTGCCTGATACAGCCGTTCCTTCAACCGGTTGGTATCAAAACCGCCAAAAAGGAATCCAGTAGCCTAACCGCAAAAAGCAGAATGGCAGCTATCGATTTTTTTCTGACAATGTTTTCTTTTTCGAACTCTCTATCGAGTCTCTATCTATCTTTCTTTCTTTTCACCACTCTGGTCTCGACTCTACTAGAAACAAGTGCATCGCTACTAGGAACAAGTGCCTTACTAGTAGTAACAAGGACGCTACTAGAAACACTCTGGTCTCTGAGCCCGGGTTCCAGACGTGCTCCTTCTCTTGTTCATTCCACAAGCCACGGACTGAGTCCTGGCCAAGCTAAGAGCTGATTGTGCGAGTACCAAGGCGACTGTGAAAGCATTCTGCAGCGCAACGAACACGCATCATCGAAAAAGGAAAAAAGACAGTTGAAAGGTCCAAAAGAGGAAAATCAACAAACACAACTAGTAACAAGAAGCTACTAGGGGCTCCTGGCATCGCTACTAGGAGCAAGGACGCTACTAGAAACAAGTGCATTGCTACTAGGAACAAGTGCATCGCTACTAGTAACAAGTGCCTTACTAG